GAGAGAGAGAGAGAGAGAGAGAGAGAGAGAGAGAGAGAGAGAGAGAGGAATATGAGCAAGTGTGTGTGAGTGGATGGAAGCATGTGTAAGTAGAGGACATCTGTTGGGACTGAGTTCTCACCGTCTACCGTGCTGACACAGGATCTACCTATTGTTCCTGTACCGTACCTCTGCTAGCTGGCTGTTGATCCGGCCAGTTTCCAGCCTGTCTCCCATGTATCAGGAGGAACTGAGATAAGAGATGCAGGCCACCACATACAGCTTTTCACATGGATTCTAGGTGATCCATTAAGGTGGTTAGGCTTGAACAGAAAGCATTTTGCACACTAGGCCATTTCTCTGGACTCATTACTAATTATATTTTAAAGTTACTGGGTAAAAAAATGACTTACAGCTTTGATGAAGTGTTATTCAAGGGTAAAGTGCTCTGTATACAAATGCCAATTAAAGGATGGTAATTTATCAGCATAGTTACATATGTTGTTTTTAGTCAAATTATTTCTTTGCATTCATTCAAGTCTTAGTTACAGAAATGGTCAAAGTGCAAACTCTGTACTGGTAAGTAAGAGGGGTTATCATATTACCCAAGGAATTTCAGATGTGATCAGAAAAGTGAATTAGGATAACATTGGTCTCCTGTTGAAATAAGAGGTGCTTGATTGTGTAATGTTAAGAAAAAGTCAAGGATAACCATGTTCAGCGGATTGGAAGTGGAAAAGAGAAAGAGGGACATAACAGAAATAATGTACGTATGAATAAATGCATAAATTTTCTAACAGTAACAAAAACTAGATTTGGCCCACAGGACTTTTTTAGTCTGTCTCTGTGTATTGAGATATGTGTTCATGCATATGCATACACACACACACACACACACACACACACACACACTCTCTCTCTCTTATGTAAAAGTCAAAAGTATAGCCTGGGGTATATAGCTCCTCACCCTCTACCATGTTTGAGATAGGTTTAGTACTGCACACAGCAGGCTAGCTGTCCTGCAAGTGTTTTATCTCTGCCTCCCATCTTGTTACTACCTCCTGCTTCCTGGGTTCTGTGGATCTGAACTCAAGTACTTACAACTACATGGTATAAGTACTTTACTCCCAGCCTGGGACTCTTTTGAATTGTAAACTAAGGGAAAAAAAGATTTTTGATAGAGTGAATTATTTAAGGAGCTAAACATCCACTACACAGAAAGTAACTCACTGGATTACCAAAGACGATCAGAAATGGTGTATACCTTTGCTTCATGTTTCACCACCACTTCAACAACATCATTGTGAGCGTTCTCAGAAGCCACGTGCAGAGGAGTCAAGAATCTTAAAGACAAAAGCCAGTCACACAATATGTTTTATGTACCCTACATAAATAAACAAATAAAATAATAAATGGAGCTATCTACTGGGTAAAAGTGTACTTACTCTTTAGTCTTTTCGTTGGTGTTTGCTCCCTTTCTTAGCAGCAGTTCACATATTTGCTTTCTTTTGGGATATGGAGATGCAGCAGCACAATGCTAGATAATTCAAATTGCAGCATTAATCAAGGACCATACAGAACCACTTTCACTTTAAGAACACTTGTGCTTCCAATCAAGGATAATAAACACAATGTAACTTGTTTATTTTACCCAAATTTGCTCCTGAAATATTTTCTATTGGAGAAATCTGTAGTAACTACAAATTCCAGCATGGCAGGAAAATCCTACAGATCAAATAATATGCTATTAAATATTCTGGTTAAACTTAGTCCTGTATTTTTGAAAAAGATGAAAAATGTTACATCTAAAAGGTTAAGATTCAAGTGTTGGCATTTCTTCTTCTAGTGCTAAAGAGTGAATCCAAGGCTTCAAAGATGGTAGACAAGTGCTCTACCACTGGACTGGTAATCCTAGTCCTGGGTTTGTGCTGTTATATGAAGACAGGACCCCCCCATCTGTTTTGTTCTGAATTTTGCTGGTTTAACAGCATGGACGGGAGAGCTGCTAAGCTGAGGATCTTTCTTATCAAGTTTCCTCAGCAGAACAAGGAGTTTCAATTACCTGTTTGGTACAACCTGGATGGTTTGTGGTGCAACACTTCTGAGTATCAAGGAGGGAAAGAGACATGAGGTAGGGATTTGACTTTTATAATAAACTTATTATCTATGGCACAAATGTTTACAATCTTAACATCCAGGAAAATACTCAAGTATAACAGGTATTCATTCTGGGGACTGGAGAGATGGCTGAGCGGTTAAGAACACTGACTGCTCTTCCAGAGGTCCTGAGTTCAATTCCCAGCACCAACATGGTGGCTCACAACCATCTGTAATGGAATCTGATGCCCTCTTCTGGTGTGTCTGAAAATAACTACAGTGTACTCATAAACATAAAATAAATAAATAATTCTTAAAAAAAAAAAAACAATAGGTATTCTGTCTGACTGCTAACTGAGTAAATCAACATACATATTTGTTAGAACCAATATCTGAAAATTATGGGTTAAAAATTTAAAGCAAAGTTGTTCTATACATTTAAGTATATATAGTGATCATGAAATCTGTTCTCCTGTTATTAGTCGTGAACTGTCAGTTTCTCACAATTGTGTTCCTGATTCATTTACCAAAAGCATTCCTTTATCATCATCAAAAACAAAAAAACCACCACAAGTATAACAGGTACACAACAGTTCTTTCGACACACCAAGGATACTAATCCTACAACATTTATTCAAAGTACAAACCTAGAGATCGTTTATTTCCAAGAAGTTTTTATTACACCCACAGCAAATGAAACCCCTACTCTTCTGTATATCCCACCGGAAGGGCCTGCAATCTCTGGAATCCAAGAAGAGACTGCCCCTACACAACAACTACCCACGAACACTTGAATCTTAGCATGTTTTAAGGTTGAAGACACGATGCTTTACAGCAGGATACTTAGAGCAAACAACATACAGTACAACATTCTTTTATCTGTACTGTTTTGCTTTCATACCTGAGGCCAACTATGATCTGATATTACACAGAAACGTTTCAGAAATAAACATGATTCTGAGAAGTGTGATGCAATCCTGTACAGTTACACTGGGATGTGAACCAACCACATCTCTGTCCCAGTACATACAGGCTATATAGCTGCCCACTCCTTAATAACTTTACAGCTGTTTGTTATCATTGGATCAACTGAAAGGTAACAGTGTTTGTTCAAGAAATGCTTATTCTACTTAGTGGCTCTAAAGTACAGGGGTAGTTTTGCTGGCAATTATGGTATGCCAAGAAGCTGTAATGGTTTGTTTTAACTTAGTAAAAACAGTAAAGATACTGTATGCGGAGGTTTACTAAGAGCTACTGGTATGATTGTTAATCTTACTGTACATAATACATAAACTATTGCAATATGGATGTGAAGAAAAAAATGATATAAGTAGGGTTTCTGTGATTTTAGGCAGTGACTGGGGAGTTGCAAGATATCCTCCGCAGATAATGGAGCACAAATGTATTAGATTTTCACACTAGAAAGTTTTCCATGTTAATCTTTTTGAGCTTCCCCATACCATTTTAATACTGCTATGGTTTTAAGTTTTTGGTTAACATTTTTTTATTAGTCTAGAGCTTTATGATCTTTGGTAAGTGGCAAATTTCACAGTTTCTATTAAGACACAGGGAAGAAGCAAATTATTTACCAGACAACCTACTTCACGTATCTCCTTCTATCTAAGGAACATTCTTTAGTTTATGCAACAGTTTTACTATCTTCTTTTGGAATTGTTACTTTTAGGGTAGCCTGTGCCTCCCCTGTATTTCACCACTGATCTCTGGTAGCTCCAAGATTTCACTAGTCACAACTACTTTATTAGTTTCACAGAGGTCACTTCCCTCACCTTATCCCTGCCTCTGTCTGATTTTTGAGTCTTGCTAGTGTGGTTCAGGCTGGCTTCAAATATGTGGTTCTTCTACCATAGCCTCCTGGATCCTAGGATTACAGGCACACACTATCACTCCCAGTTTGTTAATGGAAGTAACTCTTAGATACTTTAGTCAAACTTGTGGAAAACCGCAAATGACCAATTATATTTTACATCAACAATAAAAACTAACATAAAATATGCAAAGACATAAATAATTTTTTTCTCTAGATGGGTTCTTAAACTACTAATATGTTTTTTTGGGGGGAGTGAGGTTGTCTATTTTTCTACATGACTTAAATTCTTTTTCTTTATAGATGGGTAACTGATTTTAGTTCAACGTGGTAACAAATGCTTCTTTCACCATTTGACAGGCTAAGGCAGGACTATCACATATACAAGATCCATTTGAGCTAATATAGCAAGATACTAGACTCACAAACCCAAAACAACAACAACAACAACAAAACCATCAATCAGCAAACCAACAAACAAAGGAGTATTTTAAAAACAGTGCCATCAAAAAAAATCAGACATTATGACTACTTTTGGGTTATTGCATTTTAAAAGCTTAAGTTTGAAACGTTACCAGTGCTGTTTCATGTGTTTGAGGATGTTTGAAATTCACCATTTCCAGAGAAAGATGTTTTTTGATTCTTGTAACATCAGCTTCCCGTGCAGCTTGCAGCAACGAATGGCCTTTAAATTCATCTAAACAAAGAAGCATTTACATCTACATGAAACTTGTAGCAATAAGGCTTACCTTGAGCAATGCTAATATTTTTGTAATTATTTTCAAATAATCTCTAAATATCCAGATTAAGTCTCAAAATTAGTATCATTACTGATAACAATAATTAATAACAGACACAATGGCATTCTAGTTCCCCTTAACTTATTCTCAAGTATACATAAGCCATGATGGATCCATGGTCTGTTGATATTTTCTAATTGGATTAGAGACAGCAACACTGTTACCATCTATTCCTAGAGAATTCTGAAACTTTACAAAGGGCGATCATAACCCCATTAGTATACAGTGATAGAAGACAGTCTTGCTTATACCTATCAGATAACTGCAGATCAAACTGGCTTGTCAAGTTTTTCACAGGATGAACAAAATTAAAGAATGTATTTTCCTCAAAGTTTCTCTTTTACTTATCTGACTTATGAAAACACTAATTATCATTTACTGCAGTAGAATAATTTAAGTTTAGATGACGCTGCTCATTTTATATTTAAGAATACTACATCTGAATCAAGTGCTTATTTCTTCACATATTTACTTTAGCTATACAGGAAAATCACACAATTTGGACAAAGTAGTGAACAATATTCTATGTCACAACCCACAGACTGTATTTACAATACAACAAACAACTCTCTTTAACAGTAACTAGAAAGTTCAAAGCATGAGTAAAATTCAAGGGCTATAATTTACAGTTCTAAGAAAAAACTAGCAAATATATTTTTACACAGTATCTAAATTATTAATTATATTAAAAAGCAGATACCCATCTATAAAGAACTTATTTTACTCTTTAAACATTTCCAAAAGTAAAACTGGAAAGGAAAAAAGAAGCTGAGTCATTTATCTTAGCTGAGTATCAAACTTTTTCAAGACAGGCTCAGACAGGCTCTGACCATGCAGCCCCTTGAATTCACCTGTATCTGCGCCTAAGTGCTGGGATCACAGGTGTGTGCCACCACACTCAACTTGTGCATCGCTTTTCTACTTACATGACAATCTTTCCTTCAACTGTGCCGTGGGAGCCAGGTCTATAGCACTTTTATTGTGACAGTTCAGGAGGGTTGGATCTGCCCCATAACTGAGGAGAAGAGAACACACTTCAACCCTGTTCTTAGAAGCTGCCTCATGAAGAGGGGTAAACTGCCACAAGTCCATTGCATTTACACAGGCACCATGCTGGGGAAGAAAAGATGTACACAGTTACTGTTCAATTCTTAAGGGAATTTAGACTTACTAACATTGTGTAGTTCAACAATATGCAGGCTGAAAAAGATCTTCTGAAAAAACCTCCCTATCTCTTGGGAAGTATAATTTAAAAACAGAGAAGCAACTCTTAATGAATTAACTTAGTGAATTTTGACAAATACATATCCATTCTATTACGTAAGATTTTTGCTTTACCACAGAGTGCTTGCTATGTTTCTTTCACTGTCAGTTTTTGTCCCATTCTTTTAGTACTACGTTTATGTGTAGACTGTTCGCCTTCAGCTTCTTTCACATACCCATCTCCCTGAGACTCACACTGTATCACTAGTTTGGATGGCTGGTAAGCTTGTCATTACATTGTAATTTCCTTAGCCTGTTACTGGACAACTGGAGTGTTTCTGGGAGAAAATGACAAGCCTAAGGCAACAGGGAGAAAGAAGGGCCTGAAATAACAAGATTCTTAATGTGGTTTATACTTCCATTAGTAGAGAAGTAAATTAAAATAGTTTTTAAAAGTTAACATCTGGGACCCCCAGACAGAAATATTAATTTACCAAGCTGGCAAGCCAAGGACGAGTAAGAATCTGCATAGGGCCTTACCAAGGTAAGAAGGAGTGCATTGCTTTTGATAATGCATTCTTCTCAGAATGACTTAAGACAGGCTCAGTCTGGTTTATGCAATTAAAAGGGGGGAGATGTGGAGAGCTTTTGAGGCTGCCTGGCAGGAGTCTGACATTGGCTAAGGAAAAGGAAATGGGCTGCAGGCAGGAATCTGACATTAGGCTAGAACAAAGAAGCAATTTCAGGCAGGAATCTTAAATCTTAGGCTAAAACAAAGAAGTAATTACAGGCAGGAATCTTAAATCTTAGGCTAGAAAAAAGAATTAGGCTTCAAACATAAAGATGACTTTGGGCTAGGACAGCAAAGTAGGCTTAGGTATTTTGGTCATCCTGATAAGCCCTTAGGAATGGTGATCATCATTTAGGAATACTAGGCTTAGATCCAGTCTTTCTTTAACTTTTTAAACTGATTTGAGATGGTTAGCCTGTGAGTTAAGGGCCTATAGCAAATTCATGGCTCTGAGTTTATTGTTAGGGTGTTTTCTATATTTTATTTAGAAATAGCTGAGAGGAGTTAACAGACAACAGTCCAGATTGCCTTACATGGATAGTTGGTTTTCAAAATGTCAGAAGTCCACAGAATTGACATTACACACATTTCTATGTTAATGTTCATTTTGATTAGAAACCTGTCTGCTCCTGACAGCTTCCTGTCTTGGATTCTAAGAAGAAATTGAGCGTCTTTGGAGTTACTCCAATTGTGGTGAGACAGCCACTAGGCAAGAATTGCCTCTTTTCATCTACAGACAAATTACTGTCCAGAAAAGAACACACTTGTGGAATAGTCGACTGATTACATCGGCCAAGACAGAGTAATCAGCCCTTAATAATTCTGCATCACTAGGTCTGTCAGATGATCCTGGGCCAGAAGGCTGAAGATTGGATGCTCCAATGTTTTGTAGTATAGGGACTGTCCAGGTGTTCAATGGTCTCTATAAATTGGCTAAGTTTTAGAAGCTATGCTTTGTGCTTCCCATAATTTCAGTTAATTCAGTCATTTTGGATTTCTGACGGGGTTGAAGACTTATAGTCTCATAGCCAATCCTGGCTATTTACTTTTAGAGAAAAGATTTGAGAGGATGATTTCCAAAAAAAGAAATAAAGAAAGAGAGAGAGAGGGAGGGGGGGAGGGGGGGGGGGGGGGAGGGAGGGAAAAGAAAAGTTAACATCATACATTGTATTTAGGCAACTTAAAAGTTTTAGGCTTTTTTTGGAAGAGAAGAGAGTAAATTTAGAAATATGTGTATTAATTATATGTCTCTGCATGTGTCTGTGTGTGAGTACGTATGCGTGTGTGGGTACGTTCACGCAAGCATGCACACACACACCCCCCACAGTACATATGTACATGTCAGAAGACAACTTGGGAGTTAATTTTCCCCAACCATGAACCTAGAAGTTGAACTGAGGTAATCAGGCATGGCAGCAAGGGGCTTCAAGCACTGAGAGATCTTGCTAGCCCCTTCTTGCTATCTCTGTGTTTGCTGGTGTCATACTTCCTCAATTAACTCAGGGATGTGATTTGTTACCCTCTGCTCCTGGATATAGCAAGTGTTTTGGTCACAGAATGCAGTCACTGAATGAATGTCTTCTAGCCACGCTTAAGCAAGGGATGTCAACCTGGTGTTTGCCTAGGATTTTTGTACATACTTTCAATCTTATTCTAGTAAGTCCTTGCTCCCTAACCTCTCAGGTAACAGTCTGTCTGCCCTCCCCCGACCCCCGCCCCTTTGGTTTTTCGAGATGGGGTTTCTCTGTGTAGCACTGGCTGTACTGAAACACACTCTGAATACCAAGCTTGCCTTGAGTTCAGAGTTCACCTGTCTTTGCCTCCCAAGTGCTGGGATTAAAAGGTGTACCCCACCATGCCCAGCTTAGATAAACCTTTGGTGTGACCTCTTTAGTGCTACTACTTTATATTTAACATTGTATAGTACCTAAAAAATCTAAAGGAAATCATATGCTAGCTTACCAATAATCTGTGTTATGGTTATAACTATCCCACTTTCTATCAAGAATAAACTGGACACACTATATATTTCAAATCATTTTATGTACTTATAGGAAGTAATAAGGCACAAAAGAACTAACCTTAACCAGAAGTTCAGTTACTTCATAATGACCGTAAGAGCAGGCATTGTGTAATGGCACCAGATCACTATGATGACGAGAAAAGAAAGCCTGTTATTACAGAGTCCCTAAGTCTAGGGAAATCTACAACTGTAATTCCTGAGTCTCTTTCAAACTCATATTTTTTTTTCTCCCCACTACTACTGATTATTTATTTGGGCCTAAATAATGTTACTAAACTCTATACTTCTGAAACAACCTCTAAACCAATTTATTCTCTAAGCTCTAGCCAAACATTACAAATCTAAATCCTTTATAGATATTTTTGTTTTAATACTATTGTTCTTTGCGTTGAAGAGATGGTTCTAACTTTTTAATTTTTCTCACTGTGCATCCTTGGCTAGTCGGGAACTCACTATGTAGGCCAGGCTGGTCTTGAACTCACAGATATCCACCTACTTCTGTCTCCCTAGTGATGGGATTAAAGGTGTGCCTGGTTCTAAAGATGACACACACACAAGTTTCTGAGCTTCTCTCTGGTCTTACACTTCCTTGTGTATCGGAAATATACTGTGCCAAGGTATAGACTTCCTTCTCTTGTTTGGCATGGCTCACATTTATCTGCTTTCCAGATTATTCTGAATACTAGTTAGGTCTTTCTTTGAAACATCTTTTGGGGGCAGGAGATGGCTCAGCAGTTAAGAGCACTGACTGCTCCTCCAGAGGTCCTGAGTTCAAATCCCAGCAACCACATGGTGGCTCACAACCATCTGTAATGAGATTGGATGCCCTCTTCTGGTGTGTCTGAAGACAGCTAGAGTGTACTCATCAATAAAATAAATAAATAAATATTAAAAAAAAAGAAAGAAAGAAACATCTTTTGAAACTCTGTAACGGTAAACGCTATAGTCCTCAATAAACTGAAATCAAATTCTTTCATAATGTAATAGGACTCCTACAGAGCGGAACCGTGAAATTCTGGCTTCCACCTTTATGCTTTTCCCTCTCCTCTTCTTGGAGATCAGCGTTACTAACTGGTACAACCACCCCAGAGCAGCCTCTGCTAATACACAGCTCTTTCCTTGGCTGAATACCAATCTCACTGCCATTAAATACTTCTGCTTGAATTCCCACATATTCTCATAAAACCGAGAATTCTAAAAGTCAGCACAATGTCTTCTACCAAATCACTTCACCTCCTGTGCTTCAATCTACCTCACTTAGTTTCAGATATAAAGGTTTTCCTCCCTCTATTGCTCTCTTGTGCTTCACTTCCAGACTTGACTATTTCTACTCTTCCAGTGCAGCACCCACCCATGCGTTCCTTTTCATTTTCCCTGCCACCACCGTTACAGACCTCAGCTCACAAAAGCTCACAGTACTCAGTCTTAGACAGTGCCCTTCTTGCTTAGTCTCCTCTTTCCCCAACTAATCCAACATGTATTATCCCAGAATCCACTCCTCCTTAAGCTTAAACAACAACCATTCCTCATCTCAAATCATAAAATGCTTGCTTACAACTACAGAACAATGTTGAATTTCTTATGTCAACACACCAAAACTTCTAAAACTTGTAGGATTTTTGTTTGTTTTCTACATATCTCTCCAACTCTCTTATTTGTCCCATGTGAATCATCTGCTTTATCCAATTTAGTTTGGTGTTTGTGTGAGTAGTTTGTGTGAGCCTTTGTACATGCTAAGCAAATGTCTGACCACTGAGCTACAATCCCTTCCTTTCACAAGAGGCGAGGAGGGAGGGAGGGAGGGATATGAAGATCTTACTAAGTTGTCCAGAACTTGTGATCTCCCCCCTTCATCCTCACGGGAGCTGAGAGTTTAAGCCTGTGTCATCAAAGTCAGCTTGGTTACTACATCTTAAATCTACTGTTTATAATTTCCTATAGAATAATGTTCCTGAAACTCTTGCTTTCTGTTTGAGTCTGGGTTCCATAGAGCCCCAACCTTCAACTTCTAAGCCTTCCAACTATACCTATCCAAATTATAGGATTATAGGCATATAGTATCACACCCTGCCCTGACCTCTGCTGTCTTGAAGTGATCACTGCCTTAAATTCAAGCATGCATTCTTCTAAAGGATTTTTCAATAACTCCACCCTTCAATCTCTACTTATCACTCAAATATATGAGGTATATTTCACGAGCTATGTATTGTATGATATTGTATGACTGGTAGGCCTACTGCATTATAATTCCTTATGGCCCTCAGAAAAACCTGCCTGTGATAAAAGCTCAATAAACACGAACAGTTTAGTTAGCAACAGAAAAATGCCTTATAAAGATATAGTGTACCACAAGGACCCTGACAAGGCCTGACTTGTCCAAAGCTCACCCTTTATCCTTAGCATGGACATCAGCTCCGTGTTGCAGTAACAGTTGCACAATTTTTACTCTGTTGTATCCTGCTGCCAAATGCAATGGAGTTGACTGAAACAGTAACCAAATAGACTAATGAAATTCACATAACTGCCATATAAAATGTCTGAAAAGGTAAAACCCAAACATAAAACAAGAAAATCTAACCATGAGTTCATTGTTAATGAACAATCAATTTGGTTTTATAAGATTAACATATACAGAAAGCATAACATAAAGAAAACACCAGAACCCTCTTGAAATGTTTCAACTTATACAATCCCATTACTAGATGATATAAAATCAATCACAAAAGCTGTACCTTTCTGCCATCACTTGCATGGCAGTTGACATTCAATGGTGTAAGCAGAGCCATCATTTTTTCCTCATTGCCACTCCTAGAAACACATTGAAAAAAAATGTATCAGTAGTTTATACTCTGTATTGTGACCATCAAAACAAAGTCTTCTCTTAAGGTATGTTTATGGCATTTTTTTAGATAAGGTCTCCTACATTCTGTAGCACAGACTGTCCTGGAACTCTCTCTATGTAGGCCAAGCTATCCTGAACTCACAGTAGGCTTACTGCCTCTGCCTCTCATGTGTGGAGATTACAAGTGTGGGTCACTACAAGTGAAATCTGTTTTCTTTTTATTCTTTTTAAGTGTGTGTGTGTGTGTGTGTGTGTGTGTGTGTGAGAGAGAGAGAGAGAGAGAGAGAGAGAGAGAGGGAGGGAGAGAGAGGGAGGGCGAGCGAGGGCGGGAGCGGGCGAGGGTGGGGGGAGATCAAAAGTATCAGATGCTCCTGGAACTGAAGTTAAGAATAGTTTTAAGCTTTCTGATGTGGGCTCTGGGAACTAAGTCCTTTGCAAGTGCTTCTAATCACCAAGTCATCTTTCCACACCCTGGAAGAGATCCGCCTGCCTTTGTCTCCAGAATGCTGGGATTAAAGGTGTGTACCACTATGTCTAGCAAGAATTTGGGGTTGTTTTTTTTGCAGATATTTTTTAATTTTATGTGTATGAGTCGTCTGTCTGTGTGCACACATGTACATGCATGCCTGGAACCCAAGGTTTTAGGAACCACTTGAACTAGAGTTACAGATGGTTGTGAGCTGCCATATGAGTGGTGGGAACCAAACCTGGGTCCTCTGCACTAAGTGCGCCTAATCACTGAGCCATCTCTCTGTCCTCTCTCTGTCAAGCTTTCACAGCACATATATGTAACAGTAGTACATACCTGGCACTTTCCAAGAGTTCATCTTTCTTATAGTCACCTGTGAATTGGGGGAGGAAAGCATGATCAGAAATTAAAAAAAAAAAAAGTTCAGTGATAGTTTTATGACTACAGCAACTATAAAACCATAAATAAAGCAAGGTCCAAAAGGAAGTACTAACAAAGCAGAGGTAGGCCACCAGTAAACCTGCCTTTCCCCTAAAATAAGTATATTATGCTAACTAGGGGTGGGGTGCAATCTACTACTTCATTCAAAACCCAAATGAGAAAGTGTAACTCAACAGTATAATAGTGGAAAACTCACCTGTACACATGAGCTCTGGGTTTAATTCCCAGCACCAATTCAAACCCAATTCAAACAAAACCCCCACCCTACACCATAACCTTACATAGCTTACTTTATAATATTTAAAAATATTAAGTATATAATACTTTATGGGGATAGTTTTTATATTTATAAATGAATACAAACAGAACTATAAAAAATTCAATAAAATTTAAGTTAATATAAAGATTTGCTAAAAGAATAGCCAAGCTGAAGACTACACTGAATTTATATTGACTGTTCAAGGCAAAGAATAGCAGAAGAGTAAAGAAAAAAACAAATAGAGAATTGACAATTACAATGACATCACGCTCTCCACAAGTCTTCAGGGACTAAATTTTATTAGCAAGTATCACAAAGTGTATGCACAAAGGCTCACAGTAGACCCTCAGGCCTTTGCCTTTTAGATCAGTACCCAACAGGTAAGAATCCAATAAATATGGCCAGAGAAATGGCTCAGTGGTAAAGAATGCTTTCTTTGTTGTAGAAGACTCAAGTTAGGCTTTGAGCACCCAGTATAACATAGTTCCAGGGCTCTGACACCCACTCTGGTATCCTTAGGCACTGCACACACATGTGGACATAGTCATTCTCTATCTCTCAGACTTAAATAAATAAATATTTGTGAAAAGAATCCATAATAATATGGCAATTGCTTAAATGGATAGCATACTGGATAAAGGTAAAACCACAAGAGATAGGTACAGTTCAAACTAAGCCTGCTATCTAACCAGATCTGTACTCATCTCAACAGATTCCAAGGAAATGAATTATAGCTATAACAATCATACCCTTGGCACTAAAATGTGTCCCAAATCTCGATTTAAAATGACTAGAAAACTAGTGTTTTAAAGGATCCACTAAAAAAAAAAATGATTACATTAAAAGTAAAATAGTATATAAAGAGGTACATATTGTCTGAAAAACTTGGGAGTATTTTAAAAATATCCTGAACACCTGAAGCAACACATGATTATCACACCCTGCCCACAAAAACGATGGCAAAATTTTTAAAAAATTTTAAAGAAAGAAAAACTTTTTCTCTCTTTTTTTTGGAGGGGCGGTAAAGAATTACTTATATATTTTTTGTATACAAGTTACAGTATAGTTGTCTTCAGAGAGAGATATCAGAAGAGGGTATCCGATCCCATTACAGATGGTTGTGAGCCACTATGTAGTTGCTAGAATTGAACTCAGGACCTTTGAAAGAGCAGTCAGTGATCTTAAACACTGAGCCATCTCTCCAGCACCAAGTTTTATCTTTTTAAGGCAAGATTCAAATTCAACTGTTGAGAAACAGCAAAATAAGTGAATTGACAACTGTTTAAAAATTCTACTTGAGGTCATTAATTGCAAGAGGCAGTCTGTCTACCTAGTCCATCTAGGTATTCTCATTCTTCCTGGAATAATCAAAGAGCACACACACTTACCAGTCAGAACAGCTTTGGCTGATGGGTCTGCTAAATCCAACGCTGTCCTTCCATCTGTATTTCGGATGGTTGGCTCAGCTCCATGCTGTAAAAGCACTACAGAAAACAGCAGCACTACTTTTTAAAATGGTGATTATGGCAATAAGAGTTAATATATCAGTTTCTTAATAGGAACCAGTAAGATGTCTCAGTGAGCAAAAGCATTTACTGTGTAAAACTCATAATCCATCTAAAGGTAGGAGAGAACCAAGTCCATAGGGTTGCTCTCTGACCTCCATACATGCCCTCATATTATATAGACATGTACAATAATAATAATAATAATAATAATGATAACAGTAACAACAACAGCTTAAAACAAAAGTCGCAGTGCAGAATTCTCAAACTTTTTCTATCTTAATAATATGGTAGGGGCTGGAGAGATGGGTCAGTGGTTAAGAGCACTGACTGCTCTTCCAGAGGTCCTGAGTTCAATTCCCAGCAACTACATGGTGGCTCACAGCCATCTGTAATGGGATCTGATGCCTTCAGTGTACTCATATAAATAAAATAAATCTTTTTTAAAAAATATATGGTTAAGTTTTTAAATTTAAGAAAGTATAATGGTGGTGCCTTTAATCTCAGATTTGGGAGGCAGAGGAAAGCAGATCTCTGATTTTGAGGCCATCCTGGTCTATAGAGTGAATTCCAGGATAGCCAAAGCCACATAGAGAAACCATGTCTTGAAAAATAAAAGTTAAAAAATAAATACATAAAATAATCAATTATTTAATGCATTAAAAGCATGGTAATTTTTCTCCGTTTAACGGAAGGTTGTTCTTGATTGTTCATTTTGCTGGTGACAGGTGAAGAAGTATGCAAGGGGGAAAAGGGAAAACTGGTTCAAAAGCTTTTCTAATTTCTAGGAGCCCTGTCTACACTAGAAAGACTCTTCTATCATGAAATGCCTAATGCTATACATACACAAAGCACAGAGGTATTGGATCAAAAACCTATGCGAATACAAAAGCATTCATTGTGTGTACACGCAGAAGCAAACAAACAAAACCAAAAAACTAACAAACAAACAAACAAAAACCAAAAACCAAGGAAACAAGGTTGTTGACTGTGGTGGTAGTTAGTATACATCTTTAATACCAGCACTTGGGAGGCAGAGTTAGCTAGGTCTGTGAGTCAGAAGCCAGCCTACTTTACACAGTGAGTGCCAGGCAGTCCAGGCTATACAGAAAAACCTAAGTTGTTTTTTGTTTTGTGTTTTTAAAGAAAGAAAATGGAATAGCAATGTTATTCTTCCATCTGATCCCGCAAGGCCATTAGTTAGCTTTCTACTTGTTAAAAATACTAACTAAACTGACCAATAGTATGAAGAGCTGAGGGCTGGCCATTACTGGCACTTCAAGGTACACTAGTTAGCCATAGTTAGCATCAAGTAGCTAAGTATATGTCATAACCAAGCTTAGTATAAAATATTCTTTGCCAGCACAATTTTTCTTCAGAAATATCTGAACAGAGGGATACATGACTGTCAGCTGAAGTTGTTTTTTTTTTAAAGGTTAATTACATTGAATTTTGAGTTCAAATACCAATTTTATAGCCTTGGTTGGCCCCAATCTCAGAGATCTGCCTGCCTTTGCATCCTGAGTGCTGGCGTCAAAGGTACTAACATATCTAGCTACAAACACTCTAGAAAGGAGCCTAATGCTAGCATATTCTACTGTTACTTGTATATAAAGATATGCTAAGACTTCTATGTATAAATAAAGAGCTGGTGGAAAACAGGCAAACCTATCAGGCATTCCTCCATTCCTGTTTGCATATGGGAAGAAAGATAGATAGATAGATAGATAGATAGATAGATAGATAGATAGATAGATAGATATTGCAGTGGTGACTGAACCCTGGGTCCCTCTTGTGGCAGCACTCTACCACTAAAGTGTTGTCTATCCTACCCCTGCTCTTTGATATGGTTAATTTGTAGTTCTTGCTACTCTGTAACTCAACAGAAATGGTAACATGAAACTTTAAGCTTTCTACCAGCTATACTAAAAACTTTAACATAATTAACACAGTATAGCAAAAATCTTCAATATCCTCATTATAATCAGCATAAAACTGAAACATTTGACATCTTTTTGTACTAAGACTTTGACTACAGCATGAATTTTTCTTCTTATAGTACTCAGTTTGAACCCACTGTAAGTCCTCAGCTACTATAATGGACTCTATAGCTCTATAAACTGTATTTGGAAACTATGGATTACAAAATTAAAGATAAAAATGTGTAAGTCTGCCAGGCTGTGGTGGCAAATGCCTTTAATCCCAGCACTTGGGAGGCAGAGGCAGGCAGATTTCTGAGTTCAAGACCAGCCTGGTCTACAGAGTGAGTTCCAGGACAGCCAGGGCTATACAGAGAAACCCTGTCTCTAAATAAATAAATAAATAAATAAATAAAATAAAATATTGTGTAAGTCTGAGGTACCAGGAATGTGGTTCAAAGAACAGACTGAGCACAGGACAGTAATGGGTTAAAGTAACTCAGAACAAAGCAGAAGTTTTCCAGTAAATGCTGCTGCTTCTTTTTTCTTTCTTCTTTTTCTTTTCTTCTCCTTCTTTTCCCCCTTCTTCCCCCTCCTCTTCCTCTCCCTCCCCCCTCCTCTTCCTCTTCTTCCCCCCCCCCCCTCTTCTTCTTTTTGGTTTTTTGAGATAGGGTTTCTGCATAGCCCTGGCTGTCCTGGAACTCAGAAACCCGCCTGCCTCTGCCTCTCAAGTGCTGGGATCAAAGACATGCGCCACCACTGCCCGGCCCATTAAATGTTTCTTTACTGGGTTGTCTTACCCAGGTTATTTTCTATCTTCTTACTAGTCTTCCTGACCTATCCACCCTCCCTAATCCATATCAATATTACTGTGAGCTGGATGTAGTCATTCAGACCTGTAACCTCAGCTTCTTTGGAAGGTAGAGGCAGAATGGTAAGGTCAAAGCTGGTCTGGGCAACTTATATATTCCTATATAGTAACAACAAGACCTTCAAACCACAACTGGAGTTCTTCATAAAGTCCCTTCCTGTTTTCCTAACTTTTCTCCAGTACAAAGATGTCAGAAAGTTGAGCCTTGAGGCCTGAATCTGGTTAATTATTCTATTTAGGTTTTTGTTACTGGGATAAAACCATGACCAAAAAAAACCCTGGTCTTTGGAAGAAAGGGTTTTTTGGGCTTACAGGTTACACTCTATCATCAAGAGAAGCTAATGCAGGAACCTGGAAGCAGAAACCTAAAGGCAAAAACTGAAGCAGAGACCATGAAGGAACACTTGCTTACTTCTTGCTTAGCTACTTTTCTAACAAAGCCCAGACTCACCTGCCATAGTGGGCCGCCTGCCTCCATCAATTAACAATCAAGCCAATATAATGTAGGCAATCTTCAACTGGGGTTGAGTCTTGACAGGTGACTCTACTTGTTGTCAAGGTGACAAAAATTCACCAATGTATTAACTTACACCACTAGCCGTTATCCTCTACTAATACTCAATGTTCACACTACCATGCCTTTACTCAGTTCTTTTGTCTGATTGATTGATTTTTGGAGACAGGGTTTCTCTATGTAGCTCTGGCTGACCCTCAACGCAGAGATCCACCAGTCTCTGCTTCCCAAGTGTTAAAAAATAAAGACATGCACTCCCATGCTCATCTGCCTTTATTTGCTTCTTTATGAATCTCACCTCTCACGAAAACACAGGTTTCTAGAGAATGATTTTTTTTTCTATTTCTCAGAATTTCAAGATTTTAACAACAGACAATAAAATGGTTAGAGGGCTAGAGAAAAAAAAAAGTTAGATTAAATCATAAACAAATTTAAACTTACATAAACTTAAATGTAAGTTCAGCCTGGTAGAAAGATAACACTAGATTCAGAATAGTTACAATTTTTACAAAATTCTGAAAAAGAAGTAAAGGCTTACCAATGCAAACATCAATTTTTCCTTTAATTGCAGCTTCATGGAGAGGAGTATAATTCCAATTATCACGAGCATTTGGGTCTGCACCATGTTGCAAAAGAAGATTGACTACTTCAGCATGACCAAAAGAGCATGCGTTATGAAGAGGAATAAGACCTCCGTCATCGCGTGCTTGCACATTTGCACCATTCTGAAGCAGATACTCAACTACGTCCTTCCGTCCAAAACCTACAAGAAAACAAATTGACCATGAAAAATGACAAGCCATGCTAAAAGGTTTTAGAATCGGAAATAACAAGCTTAACAATTCAAGAACTGTTGAAAATGTGATCTGAAATATATACAACTTGCCTTAATGTTTCAGCCAAAGGTCTTTCCCTCTAAGTAGCCACCACACCTCATTGTCAGGTTCTTAGTTGCTGCAGCTACTAACATCAGAGAAACTTCCGAAGCGGGCCAAAACCTCAAATCCCAAATGATTCCAAACTACACGACATTTCTAATTGTAAATACCAAGCTCTGCATATTAAATGTGCACATATTTTCAGACACTTCATGAATGTAACAAGTATGTAAATGAATATCTAATAAAGCAGTGACAAACTTTTAAGTCTTGTAGAATGAATCCCTTTCTGCTCCAGCAAGAGACCCTGACACACAACAAAGCAAGACAAGACCAGCTTAGGCTTGTATTTGTTTATGTGGTAAAACAAAGGTGAAATATATGTCTTTATTTTGCTATTTGCACAACAAAAATATTCTTTCTAGGTAGAGGTCCTTCTTTAGATAGGTACTAGTCTGCTCCAACACCCCAAACCAAATGAAGCAAAAAGTCTGGTAACAATTATTCTGTTTTGCAGATTTAGTGCCAATGAAATACTATTTCTTATTATCCTCATACTATTAATACTCAATACCTTTAAAAATTATTTGTGAAATGAAAGGATTTGGGGCATATGTTAAAGCAGGCGAGGAAGAGTGTGTGAGTGTGTGTGTGTGTGTGTGTGTGTGTGTGTGTGTGATGTATGTGCTTGCTAAGACAGGGAGACAAATCTAAATTCCTCTGTCTTCTAAAATTTCTCCATAATGTTCTCAGAATGCAGTCTGACTGTAATCCTTTAAATGGACGCAGACTCAGGAGCCGCACGGTCTTTCCAGGGTGACAGGAAACGGAATGCAAATCAAATAAACAGTGCTGAGGACATTAGCTATTTATTTGGGGGAGGGGGGGCAGCAGGGAGAAGGCAGAGGGAGTTTTCCAGTATTTTTTTGCAGGGAAAATGAGTACCGTGTGTCTTTTTGAGCATATCCACCCCTCACAGACACACTCTCGAGCGAACACAAACACACCACCATGCACGAATGGAATTCAGGACACTGGCTGTCCTGCTGTCACTTCTCTCTTTATTTCCCTAAGCTGAGCTAGTGATCAGCCAGCCCAGCCATCCTCCTCCCGCTCCCCTACTCAGTTCTGTGCCTGCCTGTTTGTTTCTCTTTTGAAACTTCAGTGCTAGGATCTAAACTTTGGTTCTCTCATGTTTGCACAGTAAGTGCTTCTACCACTGAGCCATCTATCTCCCTAGCCTCACCCAACACTTTGTTTTTTTATAGCCCAGGCTATCCTTGACTTTGCTATGTAACAAAATATGACTTTAAACCTCTGATTCTTTCATCCTTCCAAGTGCACCACCATGCCCTGTTTGTGTGAAGCTGGGAATCAAACCCAGAGCTTTCTAAATGCTAGGAAACTAAGCTACAGTCTCAGTCTTGACTTTGTAGCTAGTTTCTCCTCTCTCAACAAGGACACAGCTTGAGGAAAACACATTGTTGTGCAAGAAGAAACCAACAGTATCTGGTTTTAGAGATAAAAGAGCAAATCCTTCATGATAGCCAGGATACATACGAACTAAGTGATCAGAGGGCAGTTTGAAAAAACTCACATGACTCACAAGGTATTTTTCAGACAGCAGAGTTCAGTGAAATCCTATCTATGAGTTCAGTAACTTTATACTATGTTTACTGTCAAATACTCAATGGTGGCACATAGCTGGCACTTTCTCTATGAAAGAAACTGAAAAGAAAATACTGCATATTTGATTCACCTGAGAAAGTCTGAACGATACTACTATAGCGTATCACTAGCACTGAAAGTTTGTTTAGGACAATTGCTCTGGTGGTATGTAATAAATGCAAACACTAAGAAACAGGAGATAGCCAAGTCAAGATTTGCCATGGCTACTGTCCCAACCACATGACATGAGCTGAGTGCCCACAGTAAGACAGGGTAAGTGGTTAGGCTAGGATGCATTCACACACTATGAGGCTTTCCTCCCATTCATTTTCCCAGCCTCCCACATATTCTTTTGATTATTGCTTTTTGCACGTATTTTTTACTTATACTCCAACATTATTTTAAAAAGACGTTATTTGCATATTCCTTTTTTCTTTTAAAGTCTATTAATATCTTAGAAATTATCATCCATTAGTAAACACTTTCTTTACCGGAATATCAAAGTTTAACTAGTTCCACCCTGATCTGAAAAAGTTGGGTAACTTCCCAACATTTTTACTATTGCACATAACACTATAACTAACAAAAAAAAAAAAAAAAAGGAAGAGAAAGTCAATAGATTCCACTAGCTAATCTGATTTGAGATACAGAATAAAACAGGGTCTGTGGGGTGTGCTAGCTAGCTGGTTTTGTTGTTGTTTTGTCACCTTGAGAAAAGCTAGAATCATCTGAAAGGAAGAAACTTCAACTGAGGAATTACTTCAGTAAGATCTGGCTGTAGGCTTGCAGGGCAGATTCTCAGTGATTGATGTGGGAGGGCCCAGCCCATTGGAGGTAGCGCCACTTGCCTGAGAGCTCAAGGTCCTGGGTGCTATAAAAAGCAAGCTGAGCAAATGAGTAAGCACACTCCTTCAGTTCCTGCCTCCAGATTCCTGCTGTTTGAATTTCTATCCCGACTTTCTTCAGTAATCAACTGTGATATCAAAGTATAAATAAAATAAAGCCTTTCCTTCCCAAATCGTTTTTGGTCATGGTGTTTTATCACAGTAATAACCCTAACTGAAAAGCAATAGGTAAGATTTGATTCTGGAAATGCTTAATTAGAAGTGCTCACGGGATAAATGCCCAGTATGTAGCAGTTTCTGTAGATCTTAAACTCAGGAAACTGGTCCAAGCTGGAGATAGTTATTCTGGAGTACTAGCTATGAAGCCAGACGTGAAGATTAATGAAACTAATTAGAGAACACTGATATTTTGTTATATTGTGGGAAGTATACCTAAGTCCTTCCTCACTTTCTCAGACCTTTGCCCTCCCTGTCATCCATCAATCGCTACCATCTATCTCTATTAGAGAATTCCCTAGAGTCCATCCAAACACTCATTTCTTCCACTCATAGAGTCTTCCTCCTGAACTCACATTCTCAGCTCTGCTCCTCCTAACCCCCTGGTAAGGTTTATCTCTTCTTTTCTCAAATCCAGACAGCTTCTCCTTCCTTCTCACAGTTGCTTTAGACAAGGTCACTTACAATGGCCACATTCCCAAATCCAAAGACACTGATTGTATTTGACTAGACATGTCAGCAATATTCAACAGCTCACAACTCCTTCCTGCTTGAAATACTTTCTCCAAAGAGTCTGAGGAGTCAGGATCCTGGCCTTCCTGCCCCATTTAAACAACAAATTGTAAGAAAATATCAACTATGTTAGATACTTTTCTGGTATATATCATAAACCAATAAGTAAATCTTTGCTTAAAATATATTTTATGTATTTATGTGTGTGTCCCTGTATATGCATGTACACCCTATACATACAAGAGCCCTTGGAAAATGGAGGAGGGCACTAGATTCTCTACAATTGGCATTACAGATGGTTGTGAGCCACCTCGTGGATCCTCTCAAAGAACATCAAGTGCTCTTAACTGCAAAACCATCTCTCTAGCTCAACAAATTTCTGCTTTTGAGGAATTTATTTTTTATAGGTATGGGGAACAAACATAAAAAAAAATAAGTAATGCTAAGGGGTAATGAAAACAGAGTAGGATGGGTAGTGCTTAAAGTATGTATGTGGGAGAAGACTGTAAAGTTAAACTGTCTCTGTAGTTATCACTGAGATGTTGACAAAGACTCAGACATACTGTAACAGTGGGTGCAGTAGCGAGACAGCAATAATAAGAGTTAGGGTAGCAGGGAAGGACAGATAAAAAACACCAGGTGAACGACAGGGTACAGTCTAGCACCAAGGAGGCAGAGGCAGGTAGATCTGAGTTTGTGGCCAGCCTGGACTACAGAGTGAGTTTCAGGCCAACCAAAGCTACACAGAGAAATTCTGACTTGAAAAACCAAACAAAACCCAAAGAAACAAAAAGATACCAGGTGAAGACTTGAAGACCACACAAGTTTGACCTTTAAAAAAAATACTGTGCAAAATGGGAGTCACTACAGGGTTTTAAGCTGTTAAGTTATAAGATATGACATACTCCTCTGGGTGCTGTGTTGAGGGCTAAGTAGGTAAAGTAAATGACAGATAAGATGGCTTACATTATAACCTGAGAGAGGTGCTCAGAGTGATGTCACATTCTGGATACTCTAAGGTAAAGAGGCAGTGCAGCTTCCTAATGGGTGAGATGCCGGGTGATGAGGAGTCATAGATGACCATGAGGTTTAGCCTGAGTAACAGAGGGGTTGGGGGGTGGGGTGTCATCAACTGAGATGCAGGAAAGCTCTCTAGTGTGACAGTAACAAAGAGTTGATGTTCTGGGTGTTGGAGAGATGGCTAAGAGCACTGGCTACTCTTCCAAAAGACCTAGGTTCAGTCCCAGAGCCCACAAGGTGGCTTAGAACCATCTGTAACTCCAGTTCCAGGAGATCTGACTTCCTCTGCAGCACACCTGTTGCACAGACACACACTTAGCAAAACACCTATACAAGATCCCTCCACCCCCAAAACCTTAATATCTCAGGGGCTTGCTGTCTCCTCTTTCCAATATCTAGATACTAGGATTCTGTGAGAGTCAAGTTTTCTATACCCCCTTTAGATGATGATTGTATGTATCCCTACAGTCTGCATATCACCTAGATAGATAGTACTTAAATTGGAATTTGCAGTCTAGACTTGTTACCTAAGTTCTATGTTTCAACTTGATCCTTTAAAAGCATCTTTAACTCAACACCTTTTCAGCTTTTCTACACTTCACTGACACTGCCCTATTCCAACC